TCTAAATCTCTCCTACCCTATATACAATTTTTTTTTCATTTTCGAGTTTGTTTACCCTTCCAATTTCATTAATAAGAAAACAATCACATTTCTTATGGAAAAAATTGAAAAAGAAGAAGATGCTAGAATTGTGAACAAATTAAAAAAAAAAAAGAAGGAAGATGCTAGAGCTGTTTAAAAATTAAATAGAAATTCATAGGCCTGGCTAAATCTGTGATTAGTTGTAAAGCCCATGGGCTTTATTTTGCCGGTTTAAAACCATTTTGAGAAACTTTTCGGTTTGAAAACCTTTTACCCCTTATTTATTTGTCGGCGTAACAAGTACAATGGACCTAGTAACACTATACTTCAAGAGTTCAAGTACAGTAAGAATCACCAACAATGAACAACCATAGAATGTATTATTACAAATGAATTCAGGAATATAACTTTATTGTTTGCAGAAAACGCGAAAATAGAAGTCATTAGTCAAAGCTGATTGAAATATTAAATATTAGAAACTGGAAAAAACGTTACAGAAATATATTATTTCAAAGGAAAAAATGGAAAGTGTGAAGGAGAGAAAAAGGGGAAAGAGGAAGTCAGAGTTGGGGAGCCACCGGAAAAATTCGTACAAAGTCACCTAATTTACGGACCGACCAAACCGCCACTCTGTTTTCATCAGTCAACTTACAAAGAAACAAACAATTTAGCTCTCATTTTTCTACTTCTTCACTCTTTTGATTTTTCCATCTTAATTTCTTGTTTTCTAAAACGTTATAATCTTGTAACAGTATTATTGAATCTCACCGACCTAAATGTTTTTCAGAAAATATCACTAATACCCATCCGGTCAAAATTAGAACGGTCCATCCGCTGCATTAGGAATACAACAAGTTCAAATTTGGTTTATATGTATGACTATTCAATGTTTTGTATCTTTCTGCAAACATAAATTTTTCATTTTAAATTATAGAAAAAAACTAGAAATTTAAGTATATTCGAAGATTGGTTGGTTCAGTGCAGTAATCCAAAATATACTAATCATGCCTATTCTTTTTAGTTTTTACAGTTTAAAATTTAACAATTTTACATCTATATAAACAAATTGAATAATTTTAAATTTACTTTTTTGGGTATATACTAAAACATCCATATAATCATCATGATTCGAATTCTGTAAATTGCAGGAATTTGTATTGTTTTTTCTTTAAGTTATCATCACAAATTTTAAAATAGGGTAAAGAAAAATAATAGTAGAAGAAAGAAACCACATCTATAAGCTATGACACCAATTATTAACTCAAAAAAAGTTATAACCATTTGATTAAATCCATCGTGTCTCGAGGGTACCTCCGAATGTGTGATCATAGAACCACGAACCAAATCATGTTCTACAAATATTTCTATATTAACTTTTCTCTCTATATTATTATATCAAATTAAAAAAGTTTTCGAGATAGAGAAAATAATTACGCACCAATGAGCAGAGTCCGTTGGCTGTCATGTGGGATGCTATAAACAAATTAAAAGAGGAGAGTCAGATTTGTATATATATTCCGGAAAATATATACAAATCTTATACTATGTTTATATATAACAAAGGATTTAAATTAAACAACAGATTCTATTGTAACGAGAAGATGATACATGCACTGCCACGGTTCCTCTCATGCAGAAGATGCTTTTTAAAGCATTAATTAATTTTAAAATTAACATCAAAACAGCAAAATTAAAGCATTACTTTTAAGCTACGTTAATTTTACTACTTAGTAATGGGTAAGGGTTCCCTTTTAAATGTAACGTATATATGCAAAAGTAATCTTGTAATCTGGTGCGTGGACACGATTAATTTTGATTATCAAAGAAAGAAAAGATTAAGGGCAAAGTAAAAAAGAGAAAGAAAGTTTTGTGAAATGCAAAACTATTGTTAGTAATTTATTTCAAGAGACGTTTTGTATACTTTGATCTTTAATAGATCAACTGAATAATTATATGCTGTAATATATACTATGAGTAAGAAAATATATTTAAATAGTAATAATTTAACAAAAAATGATAAAAATTATAAATACAAAGAGATGTATGAAAAGAGAGTAAGAGATAGAGAAGCAGAGAAACATGTGGAATTCACATGGCCTATTGCTGACCAATCTGTGCCCACCTCAATCCCCTAAGCCATATTGGTCCTTTAAATTTTTTACATTTATTCATAGCCACCTAACTTAACTTGAATTAGTTGTTTTTCTTTTGATGTAGATTGTGATTATTAACTGGTACCTACATATGTATATGAGTACGCTCTAATACAATTTATTCAATAAATATCTCAGACAACAAAAGAAAAGTTCTAAGTTTTATAAACCGGATCCGTACATCGTTTTACACACATGTTATAATATGCATCAAGTATCTCTCGCTCATAACTCAGAAGATTATAGGTTAATTTGCTAGATAAGCTATTGGAATGATGATGATCATGAGCTGAAATTAAGAAAGCAAGAAAGAATATCTACATTGATGTACTAAATGAAAAAGGGAGATGGGCACATCAAATAGGAAGTGGATGGGAATGAGCAAATGCAGTAAGCAGTAAGCACTTGGAGATTTCAATTGTCAGTACCGAGGGAGTGGGAAAAGGCACACTCGTGACTTCATCTTGATTTGGTTCGGTTTGATCCGGTTTGCTATTACACAACTTGTCGAATTGAATGTAAAAGAAAGAGAGGAAGATATCACGTGGGGAGGCATGTGGGAGGGTAGGGAGAGGCCTAAACGATGTTAAATGGATAACAAAAAGTAAAAAAAGTTAAAACAAAGTTATGTTCCTTGAAAGCTCCTATCGCGGATCTTGCCTCTTTCTCTCCCCTTTGCTTTAGCATTACTAATTACTCTTTCGTTTATTAATGATAATAATTATAATAATATAATTAGATAGAGAGAGGAAGAGAGAGAGAGAGTGTGTGTATGTGTATAAATACACATAACAAGTCGTTCTCGAGCTCTCTCAATCCGAATCTCTGATTGAAAGAAGAAGAATTACTTTATTTCAAGAATTGAGTAAACATAAAAGAAAAAAATGGCATCATGGAAGAAAACAATCGCAACACCATTCAAGAAAGCGGCAACATTCTTCAACCAACCGCAACAATCACCAAAGAAGGGTTGTCGTGGAAGAATGGATGCGAAAGCGAGGGAGGAGCACGAGCAGAGAATGGTTCAAGAGCTCCAAGGAGAAGTCATGGCTTGTGGTTACGACGACGTCCTCGTCATGTGGTCTATTCTTGACAAATCTAACTCCTCAAATAACCTCTCTTGTTAATTCCAAAACCAAACACAAAAAATGGTATTATGATCAAATCTATTGTACATATCTTAAAAGTGGTATTAGCCCACCTCAACCATCTCCTCCTCTTCCTCTTCGTCCTTATCCTTTTTTTTTAAGGTCTAGTGAAAATATTTTTTCCGACGGGTTATCGTCGAGAATTTAGATGGTACTATTTTCCCCTTTGATATTCCCTGAAATCACGGTGGGATTTTTTTTTTCTTTTTTTTTTTTTGTATTTGGAGAAAAAATGTCTTTCTTGAATTCACATATCATTTGTATGAGATGATTAGCATTATTTGAATGAGAATTCAAGTTATTAGTTCTCCATAATGTAAAGTCAGGTATTGACTTAAGTTGCACATGTCTTAAATTATCAATCAGAAGAAGAAAAAAAATCCATTATTGAGTTGATTACCTATGATGTGTTACAATGTAACAGTACATAACTCAAGCCACCGACCATTACTTTTGTTTGGACCAACTAATTAGTCAAATATTAGTAAGTAAAATGATACTAACAAATTGTTACTACATAATGATAAGTATGTGATAATATGCACTTTTGGTAACGGTCTAATATTGTCTCAATGTACACAATCTATCGACTGAGTTGACGTTCCTAACTTCGGACAGACATAAAGAGTTCAGGCTTTATGTTCATTAGTCATTACTCTTCTCACTCAATAAAAAACATTTTCGTCTCTCAAGTTGACCCAAATCCTTTTATAGCCACAAAGAGAGAAAAAAACATTTGTAAGTTGCAACCTTGATTAGAGCTGGACAACTTCATCTTTTTTTGGTTTAATTTCGGTTAGATTCAGTTTTTTTGTTTTGTTTTTTTTTTTCCAACTTAAAACCCTATGAGCCATTTACTAATAGCCATTTCAACGTAGTTATGTTACCAAATGGATCTTTTTAAAATTTTGGTCATTTAGAGAAGCATATAAGTTGAAACCAAAGTATAACACAGTCTTCTTCAATTTCAGTTAGGTTGATTGCTATATTGCTGTCGAGTATTATTACACCGAATATTAAAACCAGCTTCAAATTTAACTTTAGTCATCAAATTGATTCTATAATAATATAAAGCCTCTGCCGATTCAAGACATTAACTTACTTATCCATGTACCCTTCAAAGGATAGGGCACAAGTACAACTCATAAATGTACACAACAAAAAACTGATCAATAATCTCCACACAAAATTACAAAACTTCCAACAAAACAATTATAATAATAAACTCAATAATTTTATTTTCGAATATTAATTAATAAATAATTAAGATGACAGCAGCTTGAGCTTAGAGAGGGACCCAATCATTGAATTAAGCAAATGAAAGAGAAAAAAGGGAAAGAGAAGAGAATAGAAGAAAAAGTACGACCGTATATCGACAGTGAGGTTAATGGTTGATGATGAGATCTTATTAAAGTCTCAAGTGGGTCACTTGATTCTCACAACGTGTCTTGTCCTTTGAATCTCCTTCATTTCTTTCATTTTATTTTTAAATCTATATACTCTCTATCTAACATTCTTAACATGCTCAAAGTTTGGGAAACATCTTAATCAAGAGTGAAGAGATGGTCTCACTCAACTCTGCAAACCTAACATGTCCCATTGAGGTAATATCATCTAAAGATTCGTCATTCCACACCCACTGGTGTTTCACCTAACCGAGTTTCCTAAACCGAAATCTCAGACTTAGGCCAGGGCACTCATACACACCGGTATCGGATGCATTTAGAGGATTAAGTGTCTCATAAAAGATTGTCTTAATATCATAAACTCTAGTTAAGAAGCATGATACAACATATTTTGAGTTCGTACTATCCTTCAATTTTTGAGTCCTGCCCTAAGAAATAAATATACATGTAAAACGAAACTCTTTACCTTGCATGCCTCTCTGCCCTGGCTTCAAGCGCATCAACTTCCTCACTTGTTAGCAGATCCACAACTGGTTCATAAACATCCAAGTCTTTCCTTTTCCTGTCAAGATCATGGACAAAGTTTGTTATGAGGATTCTGTTATAGCTTTTGCTTGGTCTTACAAGTCAATATGTTCGCCCATAAATCTTATTTTTCTAAGACTCTCATTTAGTGATAAGAAATGCAGGAAGAAAGGTTCTTCAATCTCCACAGAGTCAATTTTGTAATCAAACGATTTGCAACCTAGTGATTCGGTTTTTTTTGTTCAATAACAAGATGTAACATCACCAGAGATTACTATTAGAACAATCTCAGAAAGGACCAGCTCCAAATATTGGGATCATCTACTATCAAATGATAGATAATGTATGAAGAGGTGGCATTCAAGTGTATGTGTAAGAAGACGCTCATGATGTGTTGCAAAGTTAACTGTTTCAAACTTATCTTATAAACGATCTAGATACTAGAAGTCGTACAACAGATCTTAAGAAGACAAATCAAGAAAGAAAAATATATGCATTAAGTGGGGAGAGAAATCACTTACCGAACTACACTGGACTTAAAGCTGAATAACTTCATTAAGTCCATCGACAAGCCACTTGCCTTGCTGCACATATAAGATGGAAAGTTATTGTAGAATTTTTTGAGCTAGGCTCTACCATTACCACAAGGTAACTTATATAGAGAAATAGGAGCAACGTGAAAAGACCTCGCTGAACCATGATCAGATCCTCTGCGGCCTTTCTTACTTAATCTACTCTCCCTAGCTGAAGCCACACTTTGAATTGCAATCTGGCAAGCAGAAACAACGACATGGTAAGTCAGTAAGTTTGGCATTCTTGTTCAAAACAGAAAAAATATATATACAGAAATACAAAAAGAGTAGCTTAAAGTTACAATCAAAGTTTTTACCTCGTAAAGTTGTTCCCTTATTGCAAAGGCAACAGCAGGCTTCAGAGAGAAAAAAAAAAAAAAAAACCAAAAACCACTTGTATCAAAGGTTTGAAATTGAGGTTAATTTGTTTACATAATGATATGTAAAAATTGAGTGGTTATCTTACTCCAACTTCAGGATCTTCAACACCTAAATCCTTGCACAAGGTTCTTGCGAATTCCTCAGGATCACTCTCAAAATTGTTTAGGTCCTGCAAACCAGCAATCAAAGCTGCATTGAGACTAAGAGTACTCAAATCATGGTTGAAATTTTTCAAGATCACAAAGTATTCTCACCCACAAGAACTGATCCTTGATGAGGGTATGGTTAACTCGGAGATCAAGCTGGCACAAAAAAAAAGAGAAAGATAGCTTATCAGCTTCTAGAAATTCTTCTGTTTTTCAGCAAATCACTCATGGACAAAAGAGAGAGGATATGAAGGATATCTAGTGTCATAAAACCTTAATTGGTATGATTTTTTCACCAGTGTACATATCTTGTCCTTCATATGCCCGAAAATCTGAGAGCTGAGACTGATAAAGCAGGAAAATCACCAATGTAAGTAGAGATTTCTGAAGAAACTATCACAATCCTTACAAAAACAGAACAGAACATAACTGAAGCAAGAATACATCCATCACAAAAGCAGTCCTACAGATATACATCCCATAGTACAATGCTATAAACAAGCCTCTTCTTTGAGTAACCTAAAGAGTTATAAAAATAAGTCTAACATGGACTAATAGGTAACCTTAAATGCTCATCTCTATGACAAGTAAAACAAGTAACAAAAAAGCAGAGCAGAAGAAAAACTTAAGATGGATCAATGTGATCTAGTTAAGAAACAACCTGAATAGATTGGGCAATCTGAGTGATAAATGCTGAAGGAAGTTTCAAGTCTTTAACAGTTCTTTTGGCAAAGACAACGACTTCATTATCCGGGTCTTAATCCAAAAACCAAAAACAAGAATCAGTTAATCACATTCAACAAATGCTTCTACTGTGGATACGAGAAGATAATTAAAAGACATGGTTTTTAAGAAAGAAACCTGAAGGGTTCCAAGTGAAAGCATCTTTATAACGCTGACCCTCGAATTGAATGTCTAAACGAATTGGTACCAAGTTTTCAGCAGTGGGCCTAGCTCCAATTACAGATGGATTCATCAGCAAAACATTCAGGACACAAATCACTTGAACTCGATTTCGATTTCAAAACAAACTAATCGAAGAAGAAGAAGTAGAGGAAGAGACGAAACTTACATCCTAAACTTGACGGGACCTTTCCAACCAGTAGACACTAAACCCTTCATCCTTAAACCCCAATTTCACAATTTGAGCTTTGAAGAGAGTCAGCGAGAGAGAGTGTCTGGGAATTTCAATTTCTCGATCTTTTCCGGCGCTAACTTAGTTTTATTTCAGAATCACCCTTATATTTTAATGTCTAACACATTTCATCCCTAAATTTATGATTATTCATTCCGATCCCGTACTTGATCAACTTTAAAGTATTTGGGCTCTAGACAGGCTTGTTAGTCAATTTATTGGGCTTTAAATGGGCTCATCATTAAAATTGTAAATTAGTGATGATCAACGAGACGGCTGCCGGCAGATCAAAGAGAATCATTCTCTTCCTGCATTCCATGTTCGTGCTCCCCATAACAACGTACACATTCGAAAAAACACACGGTTACAAACATGTAAAAAAATCTCTGGATATTATTCAGAACAAAAAAAAAGAAGTCGTGGATATTGTGATTTATATATAAGAAAAAACACACTCAATGGTGTCATATAAATAAATATATGCATCAATTCTCCAACTTCTTTTGAGGCCTTTGTTGCAATATGCAGCAATAGCTCCGTCCCACGTCAAGTCTCTTCATTAATGCCTAAATCTCTTATCTCTCACGTCTCAATACTGTGCAATCACAGCCATGAACGATCCAAGTTTAATACCTCTCCGGTCTCGTGATCTTTAGTCTTCTCACGGTTTCAAGAAACATACTAAACAAAAACACCGATTCCAAAAATCAGAGAATAGCTATAAGCGAGGAAATTATATCAATGTAAGATCAAGATATAAGATTCATACTCCCATGGAATATCTCCGACCATCATCCAATCTCCATCTTTGTCTTCATATGTCAAAACATGATGTTTTCTATCTCGGTTACCGCCTGTTAGAACCAAGACAATGCATGGATATACTTCAGTGTTTGAAGTTAGTTGAATGTTGTTCTTACAGAATTTTGTGTTGTTAATTACTTACAGATGATTGAAGTATCGAACATGTGAGAAAGGTTTTCTAATAGACTCTCGTAGCCTGAGAATGCGCAAAGGTCGAGTTTTCTTCCAATGGGAACACCTTCCATATAAACCTTAACAAAGAGAGAAGTGTCATTACCACGACGAATAAGACGACGACCCTTTAGTGTATCTCTTAATCGAGACTTTATCGGTGGCCAATCTTGTCTTGCTTCTCTACATAAAAAAAAAGATTCAAAACACAAATATCAACAAACGAAAACAGAGCAAAAAAACAGAACATAGGAAAAACAGAGAAGTGATGTGAACAAGACCTTTGTGGAGAAGTAGAAGGAAAAGTGAGGCTAAGGGAGAGATTAACGGAAGACTCAGAAGGAGAAGGTTTAGTACTGTCGACAGAGGATGAAGAAAATGAAGAACAAGAGTTAGAAACCTCCATTAATGAGACCTTGAAGCTGCAGAGCTAGCTACATGCTCCCTTCTCTTCTCTCTTGAGAGTGCTCTTCATGTCTCTCTCTCTATTTCTATTTCTCTCTGTTTAGTTAAACAATAAAAGACTAGTAGGTGATTCGATTGCATAGATTTTGAATTTAAAAATGATGTAATCAACTTTTATTTAATATAAATATATATATTAGAGACACAAGGTTCCCCACATTAACTATGAACTTTCAACCTTCTAAATATGAACACACATTGATATTTGAAAAGCACTGTAATAATTACCCGATTAGATACTTAATTCATGTGTTTAGATCTTTGGAGTTTGTTAGTAGTAAAAATGTGAAATCATGGTTTTGAGATTTGTTTACATGTAAGATTCGAAGTTTCCGTAAAAAGGAGGTATCCAAGGAAAGTGTGTCCAAATGATGTTGGAGTTAAAATGTTAAGGCTTTGATTTTAATTTCTCAACTGCTCAGATTCTTTAATTAGGAGAGATAAGAGCTAAAAAAGGCTTTATTGTCTAGCCGTAAACAGAAACAGAGCATCACATCACTTTCACTTTCTTACACATCAATATTTGAAAGAAAAACTGAGTCTATAGACTATGAACTTGGGTGATCAATTTTTTAGACCCTTCTGTTGATAAGAAAACTCAATTGTCTCTTATGACACATTAATGTTACAGACCATTGAAAATTGCAGAACCAATAAAAATAAAGTAGACTTGAAGAGTTTTGTGTATCTTGTTTTTGTGGAGCAGACAGTGTTCTTTTCTTTAACTATACGTTTCCTGTTAATGTCTCTTTAGCTTTGTGGATTGTCTCTCTTAGGAGCCCAAATCTTTTACTTTTTTTTTTTTTAAAATCAAAATAGAATTCATTGATTTATGATAACTAATAAAATGAAAAAGTAGACGTAAATTGTTACATCACATAATGCTCATTGGCTGTATTGATAATAATATTAGATTCTAGAATCATCATGGGAAGTGCATTCTAATAGTTACTTTGAATAAAGCCTACCTTGAATGTTGGATCGATAAGACTCCTATTAGCTATTATACGATCTGTCTTTGGACATGCATGTCTGGTCTCTAGGGATCCTTCTTGTGAGAATTTCGATATATTAACTTTATAATGTCTAGTAGTCTAATGATGAATGTTTAGTCCTCTTTATACTTATAATTATTAAGACTAATATAATCAATTAAACTTTATCAAATATAATCACATTCATTTTTCTTGTACAATATGTCCAAGGAGTTTTTTTGTCATTTGTTTTCGCTGAGAGAGATGATAATCAAACTCCTGATTTTTTGAAATTTCTTAAAAAGGTATTCCAATTTGCCTTAACTATCACTATATTAGCTAGGACCGAGCATGCGATTGCGAACAAGAAAAGAAACAATCAAACAAATCACCGTAGTGTGCAGCTCGATTACTTCTAACCATCGTAACTTTAAACGTTTTGTTGAAGTAATATAGAGAGGCATGCAATAGTATTGTGCCAAAAAGTTATAGCAAGAGATATCATTATCATGATATGTACAGATGTACTCCTAAATTAACGTGGCATGTTCATGCATAGACAAAGATGCAATCATATCTCCACGTTTGTATACAGCTTCAAAAATTATATCAAATCATATAGTCCTTACAAACAAAATGAATGTCCGCTGCTTATGAAAATTAATTATTTGGATAGTACTTCGTATAAAAGTTATATCAAATGATTTTAGTTGATTTTAAGGCATGGGGTCCCTTCGAGTGATACACAAACTCATGAGTACTGTGATCCATATGACCATATCTTGACAAAGAAAAAAACGAATAGAAGAGCACAAACAAAAGGTTGATCATGGGTCGGGAAATATTTTCTACAGTCCATTTGCCACATGTTTATAAGTTTATTCCTGAATCAAGAAAGATGTATGAGTCGAACTCGAACATACAAAAGAAGGATTAAATGTGGTCTTCTGTATTACCTCATAAAATTTTCGCATTGTTTATGAGTGATTTTCCGCGTCCATTCAGACGACTTCATAAACATCCCTCAAAACTAATTAAAGTCTCTACTATACGTATTGTTATAAAAAGAACATTTTCAAATCTTTTAGCTGAAATTTTAAGTTCTGTTTGGTAGCATTGCAATATATTTGTCTTCTTGTTGTGTACATGCATACTATCAGATTTATATATTGATTATGAGTTATGACAATGTTCAAAAGAGTTTTAGATGCTAGGCAGACGGCGATTTAATCTTCCAATGTTTGTTTCCGCATAAATCCACCATCTAATATGTAATCGCGATGGTAGAAGTTTGGTTAGTCCATTTTCACCGATTCTACAAACTTAGAAATTATGGAAACCAGTGGCGGATCTAGAATAAGTTTCTAATGGGGTCATTATATTGTATGAATAGAAGATTAGAGAATTGAAGCTATGTTAATGGGGTCAACTCAAGAAATTTTAACCATTTTCTCTAATTTTTTCTTAATTTTTAATAACAAATCTTTCAAAATATAAAAGTTATTGGGGTCAGTTGACCCCACTCCCACCAACGTAGCTCCGCCACAGATGGAAACTGTAAAAAAAAACAAGGGGAAATATATGGCGGAATCACAAAGCATGAAAAAATGCTTCGAAATGATTGAGTGAACTTAGAATTGGTAGAATCAAATTTTGTAGGTTAACAATCAAAATTTCAAAACATTGTCTTTAGAAAAAAGAGTTATTTTTGTACCAAGAAATAGAAAACGAGAAATATGACCACATTATGAGTTTATATGCATGCCTATTAGGCTATTACGCCATGCAAATAGATACACACACACACACATAGTTGTGCCTCTGACTTTGTCTGCAAGTACGTTTGTATGGTTCTAGACAGTAATTATTGTCTTAAACCCACACGCTCTGTCAACAAAGGTTGGTTTCCATAAGAAATCATGAACAAAGACTTTAAAAGCAAAACAGAACAAATCAATTTAATAAGTTCAATTGGGTATAGTGGAAAAGAAAACACAGATAGTTTCAACCATTGGATTGAAATTTTGAAACTGTTGCATTTGTGGTCTTACATAAACCCACGTGTTCTCTTATAAGCCAACCAAAACTTTTTATCATTTTTTGTTCAAAACGAGTTGCAGAGTGATTGGTTTCAGACTTTGAATGGTCCCAAAGAAGAAAGAAAGAAGAAATATCCTTTGGTTTAATATTCTCTTGAACCTCTTACCTCTCTACTCTGGTCTTTAGCAAAATCTCAAAAGATAAAAAGATATTGATGTCTCTCCAACGACCCAATGGGAACTCGGGTTCGTCTTCTTCCCACAAGAAGCACAAAACTGGTAGGTGTTCTATGGAAGTTTTGATTGATTAACTTAATTTGGTCTTGAGAAATTTGGTTTTGTAAATATAATAATTGTCAGAGGAAAGTGATGAGGAGTTGTTGATGGTTCCTGACATGGAAGCAGCTGGATCAACATGTGTTCTAAGCAGCAGCGCCGATGATGGAGTCAATAATCCGGAGCTTGACCCGACTCAAAATGGAGTCTCTACCGCTAAACGCCGCCGTGGTCGAAACCCAGTTGATAAAGAGTATAGAAGCCTCAAGAGGTAACTAATGATGAGTAAAAAGACTATTTAACTTCTTCTTTTTCTAGCATTCAATTTGTGGAATTGAAATGGTAAAATTTTTTTACAGATTGTTGAGGAACAGAGTATCAGCACAACAAGCGAGAGAGAGGAAGAAAGTGTATGTGAGTGATTTGGAATCAAGAGCTAATGAGTTACAGAACAACAATGACCAACTTGAAGAGAAGATATCGACTTTGACGAACGAGAACACAATGCTTCGTAAAATGCTTATTAACACAAGGCCTAAAACTGATGACAATCACTAAGAAGAAAGATTAGAAATTTTACTTGGTTAATCCATTGTTATTAATGTTTTTTGTTTTGGTTTGTATATTTTTTGTTCAAATATTCAAGTCAAACTTTCGTTTACATATTATTTCCTCAGTGTGATTTGCAACTATAAAGTAAAACAAAAAAGGTAAGACAGAGATTTGGTATAAATAAAAATTAGGGTTCTAAAGCGATAGTGGGTCCCACATGTTCTTGTGTGAGTGAAACGAAGTCTCTGGAGAATTTGTTTTCGTAGAGACCAAGCTGCTATATAAATATTGTAAACGAGATGAGATTTTAATTACTTTTAAGAGATTTGAGACAAGTTTTAAAGATCGATCAGAAGAAAAAAATCATTACGAAGCAATGGAGAATTTTGGTGAAGGGAGAAGAAGTCGAGGCGGAGGGATGCTGCCGTTGCTGGCTCTAAGCGCCGTCGCGGAGTACTATAGACTACCGTGGAAACCGCCGGTGACGGCGAGTCTTCTGGCCGCAAATACTCTCGTTTATCTCAGGCCGGCGTTTATCGATCCCGTTATTCCTCACATCAGTGAGGTCTGGTTCAATCCTCACCTCATCTTCAAGGTAAACCAATCTTAATTTCTTCATTCGCCAAGAGAAATTGATTGCAATTTGGAATTCGAATTTTATTTAAGAGTTTCCTGGGAAATTTGTACCAATATCTGGAGAATTTAGGGATTTTGTTCTTCGATACCTAATTAAGATCCTTAATCTGAGACATGAAATTAGCTTTGGTATCACAAACTACGAATTTGATCTTTCTTGATTAGTTCGATTCTCTGTTAACGTTTTTTTTTTTTTGATGTGTCTTTGTTGAACAGCATAAAGACTTGAAACGTTTATTTTTATCAGCGTTCTATCATGTTAACGAGCCTCACTTAGTCTATAACATGATGTCCCTTCTCTGGAAAGGTATCAAGCTCGAGACATCTATGGGAAGCAGTGAGTTTGCTTCAATGGTCTTTACTCTTATTGGTATGTCTCAAGGAGTCACATTGCTATTAGCCAAATCGCTTCTTGTGTTGTTCGACTATGACAGAGCTTATTATAACGAGTATGCCGTTGGGTTCTCGGGTGTTCTCTTTGCTTTGAAAGT